TTTTTTTTTTTTTTTTTTTTTTTTTGCAAGAGGAATACATGATCACTCTAGAAAATTCCTCACCACTGATTTGTTGTGTTGTACTTAAGTTTTCCCTGGAAGCCATCCAAAACTTCTGGGAAACAAGTTAGAGATAGAAATACATCATTATAAAGAAATAATAAAGTAAAATAGGAATGAGTTACCTACTTAAACATTTATTAAACATTATCTGTTATATCAAAATTACATTTCCTTAATTATTTAGCTTGCACAGTGAAGGCAAAAAGGTTGTTTTGGCAACTGGCGTCCGATGTGGGGAACTACACAGAATGGCTGCTATTTTTAGTTTTTATAGGGCAATGTGAACCTCTAAGGAAGCAAGTAGTTTTCTTCATGCTTCTATCTTCTGTGGGTTTTGCACAAATCAACATTGTTTTACCCAAATAGAACACTAACAGCTAACAACAATAACAAAAAGAATTCCAGCTGTAAGTGGAAATTAAAAAGACAATAATAATTCAGAGGGAAACTAATCATGGAGTCAAGGGAATAGTATTAAATACAGGAAAGTTTACACTGCCCAGAGATAAATATGCTTGTCCGTTTTAGTGACCAAATAATTTCTTGGTTTGTTCAACTTTACCTTGCCCTATGGGAGGCCAGCAAAGCTTTCCACTTGGAAAGAGGACCGGCAGAGTCTCTGTGTCCCCAAACCTAAACTGGTCTCAGTGGAGCTGTGGAGAGAGAGGAAGCTCTGGGCTTGGATTTCACCAAATATACATGGATTGGGGCTTTAGGATCTCATTAAAAACTAACTCTAGCTAAGAATTCATTGTACATCCCACAGCTCATGCCTACAGACATTAAGATTCTTACTGACTGTTTAAAAGTGTCAATGTGTCATTTCTTAGATTGCCACTTCCTGGTGTTGAAACAATGCTGAACTGGCAATCATCTGCGAAAGCCCAAATTATACACTGTGTTCTGCATGTTGAGGAAGGAATTCTGATTTTCATCCAACAGCTTTATCTTCTAAGAGAGGTGAAGGAGAGTTCTCTAGGATGCGACATACTCTAAGAAACATTTTTTCATATCGATACATTTTTTTATTGTAAAATGAGAGCTTGATGCCGGTGGGCATCAGCATTTAAAAAGAGATGATTTTATGAACATTAAAATAATAATAATTAGTATGTAATTTTTTCTCTTACTTGAATTATTATTTATTAAAATGATACTCACTTATGCCACAGTGACATCGAAGGTTGGTTAAGAAGTTTCTAAGGGTCTTGGGTCCTACCATTTATTTATGAATGATTCATACCAGAGTAAGTAATATTTCATCAAGAATTTAGATTATCTTTTCAGTTTATAAATATACTGAAAAGTTAAAATTTTAGAATAGGTAACTGTTTAAAAAGAAAACCAAGATTTCTTTGTCCTTTAAACAATATCAATTTGTAACAGTCAAACATAATAATTTAAAATGTTTTTTACTCAGCTCAGTATATTTCAACAAACTTTTGTTGATTTTGTTTCTTTAACCTTTATAGATATTCAACCTAATGACTCCCTTTAAATTTTGTATTATCAAGTAATACGGAAGCTCAGCATATTCAGAGTAAACTTTGTCAAGGCCTGATAAATACTTAGCAACAGAAATGGTGCTTAAGTGGATAAATGTTTAAAAAATAATGTGCTTGCCCAACCGGGCATGGCTCAGTGATTGAGTGTCCGCCTAGGATCCAGGAGATCAGGGTTCGATTCCCGGTCAGGGCACATGCCCGGGGTGCAGGCTTAATCCCCAGTCAGGGGCGTGCAGGAGGCAGCGGATCAATGACTCTCATCACTGATGTTTCTATCTCTCTCTCTCCCTCTCCTTTCCTCTCTCTGAAATCAATAAAGATGTATTTAAATAATAATAATAATGTGCTATACCTTCTTCATATATAAAAACCATCAACATTGTTAAGTCTTGAGATCTGAGGATCTCTTCATAATCCCCCAACTTCAATGCCCACGTGCACACAGAGAGGCACGCACACACACAAACACACACACACAATGTAATGTTGATGAGAAAATACCCTACTTATTTAGATGACTGGTATGTTGATCAGGCATAGTTTGGTTAGATGTTTTAGTCTAACCAAAGTTAAAAAACTTTGGGGGAAAAATAGGTTTCAAATATTTTCTTTTTAAATTTTATTTTTAATTACAGTTTACGTTCAATATTATTTTATATTAGTTTCAAAATATTCATGGGTGTAAAGTACAGCATAGGGAATATAAGTTTAAAATCTTGGATTCAGAGTGTCACCAGTCACCAAGGCTTTCTCAAGATTAAACGGATTCCTTCTTAGCACCAAACTCCAAGCCTGAAGATGGGCTGTGGTGAGTGTTGTAGGCTTCTTATAAAATGACAAGATCGGACCATTGTACTTTGATTTGCCCAGTGAGCTAGGTTCATCGGATTTGGGATATCTGTGTAGCACATGATATAGTGCCGCTAGGTAGGTAATAACAGCCAGAAGGTTAGGAGATTGTCATTGGGGTCAAACAGGTCTGAGTGTCAATTCCAGCTCCACTCATTGGATATGGGTGTCATCCTACCTCTTGGGGCCCCACTTCCATGTTTATAAAATGGGACAGTGAGCTCTGTCTCTCAGCCTCTCTGAGGGTTTAATGAGATAAAGTGTGAAAGTGCTTAGCTTGTAAACAATAACGGCTAATCCTGTGAAATGGTAAAAATGACTTAGGATCCATATCCAGGAGCATCTAAGGGCCTCTCTTTTTTGTCCAGCATGCTACCCATTGGTATCTTGAAGTTCTACGCGCAAAACAGGCCTCAACTAGGAGAACACTTACAATGTTATTTTTCAATGTTAAGTTTAAATAAAATTCGAAATTTTTAAAACCTTTCAAATGACATAAAATTAAAAATCAATCAATCAATAAACGTGTTGCAGGTCATGAAGATACGCGCGTCCATGCCACCACTTTGCAACGCATAAAAACCGTGACTGATCGAGTGAAGCAGAACGAAGGGAACCCCGAGCCTCCCCAGCCAGCCCAGAGGACCAAGGCACCGGCGGCCGTGACGCGGGGCCCTGCTCCCGAGCAGGCCGGACCCCAGGAGCCCTCCTTCCAGTCGGGAGTCCTGAGAGCCATGTCCCAGTGGGACGTTCGGGCCGAGATTTTCCTGCTGAGCTTCATGCTGTGGGCTGACACCGTAGAAATGGTGCGTGTGGCCGGCCACCAAGCCGTGTACAAGTCAGCCTGGCTGTACCCCGTCTACCTGTTCAGCTTCATTTCCCTCCTTCGAATTATATTCACGCCGCAGAACCCTCTCCTGAATTCCCTGGGCGTCCTGCTCCAGGACTTACCCTTTATTTTTGTAAGACTTGGTTTAATCATTGACCTGGGAACCATCACACCCGTGTTGGGCCTTTGTAAAAATGTACTGGTGACTGTCTCTTATGTTTATTTCAATCACTTGACCAAATTCAGGATTTTCTCCACCTTTGAACTGTCTTCATTTTAAAAGGAAAATGCAGCATTGTCAAGCCTTTTTACTAAGCATGTGTACACATTTGAAAACTTACTATTTTCTGGGGCCTAAGTTTTTGCACTATATAAAGAAATGAAATTAGACTGTAGAAAATAAGCTATTTTAAACAACTCTAACATCAGCTTTCTAAAATGTGTATAAATGGTGCTAAATTTAAGTAAATTTATATTCTTATAAGTTGACTCTCCTGGAACTCTAGAAAATATTAGTAGTTAATTTTAGTTATGTATACCTCACCTTTCTTAAGACACGCTTCAATAAAACCTGTAAAAAAGAGAGAAAGAGAACATGTTTCCCCACCAAGTCCAAGAATGAGATTTTTATCATTTATATTAAATTACTCATATTATAATATATTAAAGAGCATGACAAGAATTAGAGTTAAAATTAACTTTTAGAAAATACACCTGGAGTTACTGAATAATTTTTAGATTATACTTTTTAAAAATCTGAATTGTAGTTTTAAGGTCTCCTTCAAACATGGAATTATGTTCTTCATTGCTCTGTGATAAGTGACCTTTATGGAATTAATTGATTTCAGCATAGAAAGCAATTATGTTTAACAGATATTTGGCTCAGTTTAAGGCTTAGCTTTTTCATTAGTACTGAAGTACTAACATAAAGATTGTTTCATATAATAAAGTCAAGGTATATCAGTAATACCTTGATGAAATTTTATAATAGGAAGCCATAAATTCGAGATGTAGATGTCAAAGTAAAAGAATATTTTGTGGAATTTGATACCATCATAAAAATAACCACATACAAACCCTGTTTAAAATGAGAAGTTCGATTTACAGCAAATGCACTAGTTAGTGTCTTATGTGGTTATATATAATGAATAACTTAATGTAAATAATTAGATATATAATTATATAATTTGCCTTCACTATGTTGGGGCATTCTTGAATATTCATAGTAAGGGCTCTTCATTTTATATGAATTTTCAGATGCTAGAAAGACTTGTCAGAGATTTATGTGTGCAGAATAATGTTTTATAGCGCCAGAGCCAGTGTCTTCAATGATCTATGGGAACAAACAGCTTAAGGCTGTGTAACTTGCCTGCCACTCCTACTCTCCACCAAAGCCCCCAGCTCGCGGCTCGGTGCTTTCTGGTTTTCCCTCCCACTCTCAGGTCTACTCGCAGCCCTTAAACTTACCTTCTGGCTTGATGACTTTGGGCAAGTTCTTTGACCACTAGTTTCCACATCCGAAAGATAAGCATAATGATAGTACTTTAATAGGCTTAAAAAGTCCTTTAATAGGGACGAGAGGATTAAATGAGGGAAGGAATGTTTTCGTCACATTGTCTGGCAAACAGTAATAACTGAATAAGTGCTAAGTATTTTAATTGTGCCAAATTAAAGAGACAAGTAGTTAAATGCATTATTTTAATTTTCCTGTTGGATTCTTTTCTGCGTCCCTGCTCACCCTCAGAAATAACAATTTAACCATGCATTTGTGAAAAATAGTATGTAAAGTCTTCAGTATACCTCAGACTGTAATTTTTTATCAGGTGGTATTATGCTCAGAAGTGAGAAGTGTACCGAGTACACAGATGAAAGCTCATGCGTGTATTCACTGAGCAGGCATTTGAGTCTCCCTATGAGTTCTCATAGAGCCCTGTGACAGCACTTTAAGACTTTCACTGTATCTGTACTTTTCCTAGTTGTCCATTAATTTTTAAATTCCTTAAAGGAAGGCCTGAGGGTATCTTGTTGAACAATATATCTGTTTTTTGGTTCATCTATCAATCCAACAGGAACTTATAATACTTAATTCTAAAATAATTTTAATACATATAATTTATTTTAAATTATGATATTTATTAAGAACCTAAAATCAAGTAGTTGATTTGTAATATTTCTAAATATGAAAATATATTGCATAAATTTCTATTTATCTTTATATTGGGATATATAGTATGAACAGGGCTGTTATACTGAAAAGTATTACTTGAATTTAGAATGTATTTTTAAAAATCTATATTGTTGAAAATATTACAGATACCCTCCTTTTCTTCCCCCCTGATCCCCTCTAGCCCACATGTGTCCCACCCCCCTGCCCCAGGCCTTCACCACACTATTGTCTGTGTCCATGGATTATGCATATATGCATATAAGTTCTTTGACAGATTGCATTTTGTATCTCATGTTTGAATGTGGATTGCCTGATATTTTGGGAAGTTGCAACAATTTATACAAATAAAGAAGGCACATACAAAAATTACATGTAGGAGGAAAATTCTTGTGTATCTAATTTAATTTAATATTTTATTTTAAGAGTATATACATGGTTATAACATTCCAGTCTGTAGTACCTAATAGAAATTGTAGCAAATTATGCCAATGAAACATTCATAGTTCTACAGTGTGTGATTAAAAGTTATGCTATTAAAATTATACTACAGTACTCATAGTTTCTTATGGTTGTTGATACTAAGGCCTGTATCACTTTTGTGTCCTTTTAAAAAGCTTACTTTTCTGCTATATGAAACTATACATGCAAAAAAATGGCAGGATACGTAGTGGATTATGTGGTACTTTATTCCAGGCAAAATTTGGAGCCCAGCTGGTAATTATGTCTTCATTTCATGTTGGGCTCAAATAAAGTTGGTTGTAGGAAAGATACATTTTAAAAAGTTCATCTATAATCAGACTAGTATTGTAAAGTAATATTTTTTTTATAAAATTCTAATACCTTTAGTAGACTATTTAGTGCCTTTTTCTTCTAAAAGTTAATATTTAAAATTAAGTGTGAATGTTAACAGTCTTGTTTTTCTTATTAGGGCCCATTTCACTGAATGACAACTGGAAATAGTCCTGAGAAAGGAAATCATTTTCTGAACAACTCCTGTGTGCTGGGCACTGTGCTGTTTGCTTAATGAATGATTATCTCTCGCAGGGGAGCTTGGAGCAGGGCTTTACTTAGTGAATATATCAACAGTGCTTCGTCTTCATAAACATTAAAAATATATTGAATTAAATCTACAAAAGAATAATCTACTACTTAGAAGCTATAGTACTTAAAATAGCTACTTAAGCTCATAAAGAATGTAGTAAATAACAAACGAAAAAATATATTAAATATATGTAGCCGAAGCCATTTAATTTTACAAAAGGGTGATTTTTTTTTCCTGTTAAAAAATGTCCATGCTCAAGCACATCTTCCGTTGTGACGCCCTTCTCATTATGGGAGGATGTGTTTACTCAATTTTCAGCTCCTGGCTGGCTGTCTCTCAACCCCCTTCCCAGCTCTTTAGTAATCGGATTGAAACACACAAACAGCACAATGAAGAGATGAAAAAAGAGAGAAACTTGAAGACGTGCACACGTGCACACGCAGAAATATCCAAAACCTAATCTGCCTGCGTTAGAAAGGTGTTTCCACGCCTCGTGAAGAGGTTAATTCACGAGCTGTAAACCATGCTGCTCCACAGAGCCCTGGGGCCTGCCATCCTCACTGCGGTCGGCTGTGGGAAGCGCACCCCTTCAGGCTCAGCAGCGCACAGCCTGCACACACCCTTACGCAGTGGCCCTGAGAAAGTGAAACCAAAGTGCCTACGCTTAATAGTTTTAGTAACACTAGAGATTTGTAAATAATTGTTTATAAGAGCTTTTACATATATTCCCATATTTTTTCTGTTTTTGAAAAAACATTTCATCAATTCATTCATTCAACAAATTTCAGTACCTTTTATATGGTTTCTATGATGAAGTAACCCACAAAAAAAGTCTTGGTAAAACTGACAAAATTACTTTAGAAGTAGTTTAGGCTACTTTTGGTTTCTAGTTTTCTATAAAAGGAGCTTGGAAGTCGCCACTATGTCCTAACAACAAGTAAAAAAGCTAAACAGACTGAAAAAAATGAACTCTTCTGGGATTCATGGGATGGGGAGGAAACAGGGAAAACTGCTACTCCCAAGACTGGAGAGACAGACAGGTGCAAACAGGGAGTCAGAGCTTCCCAGCTCAGAGACTCACCTGCTGAAACCTCCATGGAACCAGCACCCAGGTAAGAAAACCTGAACTGTAATGGACCAAGTGCTGGAAGCTCTGTGTAGATAACCCTTAGTTAAAAGCTCTAGAGGAAATCAGTCACAGGGGTTCTCTCCAATACTGAGGGATCTAAATAGAGAAAGGAAGAATATCAGAAAATTAATGAGGGACAGCAAAATAAAAACTTTTCTTTTTCTTATTCTTAATTGATGTAATTATAGTTTGTTCAAAATAGTATAGCAACAGTATATTAGATTATGTATGCTTATTTATTTGCTTATACACACACACACATACATATAGTTATGTACACTTACATGTAAGTGAAATGAATGACAGTATAACACAGGCGCAGGAAGAAGGAGTTAGGATTATTGTAAGATATGCTACCTGTAAAGTGTTATAGTGTATTTTGAAAGTGTGCTTGCATTAGTTGTAAATGTATATTGCAAAGTCTAGGACAACCACTAAAATAAGTGGGGAAAGAGGAGTATAACAGATATGCTAAGAAAGGAGAAAAAATGTAATCATGAAAAATGCTCAGTTAAAACCATAAAAGTAAGAAAAAGAGTGAAAGGCAAAAATAGCAACAAAGAACAAGGGCAAAGCAGAAAAAATAATACATCTGATAAATATTAATGCAACTTTATTGATAATCACTTTGAATGTCAATAGTCTACACCAATGAAAAGACAGATTGTCAGAGTGGATCATTCAGACCCAACTAAATGTTGTCTACAAGAAACCTGGTTTAAATATAAAAACACATATAGATTAAAAGTAAATGGAAGGTGCCCCGCTGGCATCACCCAGTGGTTGAACATCAACCTATGATCCAGGAGATCGAGGTCTGATTCCCAGTCAGGGCACATGCCTGGGACGAGGGTTCGATTCCCAGTGGGGGGAATGCAGGGGGCAGCTGATCAATGACTCTCTTTCATCATTGATGTTTCTATCTCTCTACCTTTCCCTTAC